TTCTTTCAGAGTTTCTCAATTTTTTCTAGAAATTTAACTAAAAAATCTATTAAATCTTTTTCAGAGTTCCTGCACATTTACCCTATTAGCAGTATGCGGATCTATAGGCTGTGGAATAGTTTTAGTTATTGCTAGCGTACTTTGCGGTGATCCTAATAATTTAGTTAGAGACGATAATTTATTACCATTCGATTGGAATAAGGCAAGCTGTAATATAAAATTTACAATAATTCGACAATTTATTCATCTTCTTATTTTTCATGAAATTATACTTCATTCTAGCTTTTAATGGCAACATCTTTGCTGTGCTCGGCATATAGCCCATTATATCCAGTAGAAAATACTTTAACCGTGAAAGCTGTTAAGAGGTTTAAAATTTTCACAATTTACACAAGTCCTGCTATATTGTGTGCTATAATGATTATGTCTTTTAGTACCCTTACTGAATTCAGGTAAATATAATATCTATAATGTAGATTTCTTAATATTTCATAATAATATTAATAAAACTCAATTGTTAACTTCCCGTAGGGCAAGTTATAGTAATCGCAAAAAAATCGAAAATGAAAATTTTTATATATCTTTACGTTTCAAAGGTTTCTGAACATTTTGGCATACCTTAGAAAAAATGGATGTATGTGTGGGTGTGTGTGTGTGTGTGTGTTTTTTTTTTTTTTTTTTTTTTTTTTTTTATAGAGGTGCAAAAAAAAATCTTCATAAGACACCGCCATCGTTGATACTCCGCTGTCCATCCTACAGCAGACAAAGATGGACGGCCGTGTGGAGATTTTTACCCACTAAAAAAAAACACTCCTCTCCCCTCTCCCCGCAGATGGTACGGGGAGGACTGGATTGGAACCGCGTTAGCATTACATCAATCCAGTCCGTGCTGCGCCTTGCGACGCCTGTTTACGACTACTGGTCCCTTTCTCCGGTTTTAGCCTTCAAAAGATGCTGTGCATAAGCTGCTACAGCTGACCAGTTTTCTTCTTGTTTCATCATGTAGGTCACAAGACTTGAGGGGGTAAGCCTGGTGCCTATAATGTGCTCGGCGTTGTTTCGATAATCCTTCCACCTAGGACATTCAAAGAACGTGTGCTCAGCGTCGTCTATTTTATATGGACAGTATTTGCACATTGGCGTGCTATGCAATCCCATCTTAAAAGATAGGCATTGAACTGTCCATGTCCTGTCAGTAGCTGGGTTAGAAAGAAATCTGTGTCCCCGTATTGTCGAGAGAGCCAGACGCTAATGTCCGGAATCAGACGCGCCGTCCATCTGCCCGTCTCTCCTGACGTCCACCGATTTTGCCACTCTTGTATCGTTTCATTTTTAATTCTCGACCTTGTTTCTCTGGAATCGTCACCACCTAATTTAGCGTCGTAGAGTTTCACTCTCTCGAAAGCTAGCAAGTCAATCGGTGTGGCTCCTGCTATTACCAGCACGGCTGCTTCTGAGACTGTGCGATAGGCACAGGTAACTCTCAGAGCTCCTCTTCTTTGCACTGCCGCTATTTTGCGCCGATAAGTCTTTTGCTTGAGGATATCCGCCCATATCTCTGTTCCGTAAAGCAGTACAGAATGGACTGCCTCAAGCAGGACTCGTCGTTTTCGGGTTTGTGGTCCCATGCAGTTAGCCATAATCCTTGACAAGTTGGATACCGTCTTGCTAGCTTTTATGCATGCACTATCGAGATGCTCACGGAAGGATAGCTTCTCATCTATCATTACTCCCAGGTAGCGCAAGGCCCTTGTCGACGTCAAAGTTGTCTCTCCTATGTCTACGGTAAATGGTTTTGGAAACCATTTTTGTCGGGTCAAGACAACCATCTCCGTTTTTTGTTTGGCGAGTTTTAGGTGGTGTTTCTCAAGCCAGGTCTCTATGGTGTCGACGGTCTCTCGAACGAGTAGTTCAGCTTCCTCAATGTTGTCCACTACGATTGTGGCTGCGACGTCGTCCGCAAAGCCCGTGAGTTCCACCTGCTTCGGCAAGGGAATCTCCAGGAGCTCGTCGTAGACAGCGTTCCACAAATCGGCTCCTAAAATTGAGCCTTGAGGTACCCCAGCTGTAACCTCGTGTTCTTGATGACCTTCCGTCGTTTCCACTATCAACTTTCTCCCATCGAGGTAGTCGTCTATTAGTCCTAGATTTTCTGGCTTTACGTCAAAATTATGCTCTAGTGCGTGTAAAATATCCTCCCAATTCGCACTGTTAAACGCGTTTTTAACGTCGAATGTGAGAAGGAGACACACTTTACGAGCTTTAAGACTACCACGCCATGCTTCTCTTGCTGTTTCCGTTACCTTCCGAATCGCGCCGATCGTCGATCGTCCTTTTTGAAATCCGTGTTGGTTCTTAGCAAAACCTCCGGCGCATTCAATGTCGTTGCGCAGTCTGCATTGAATAAGTTTCTCAAGCAGTTTGCCGGCGATGTCTAACATGCAGAGTGGTCGAAACGACGATGGCGTTACAGGGGTTCCCTTACCTTTGTCTATTAGGACCAATCTTTGCCGCTTCCAGACCGTAGGAAAGGTGCCGGTCGCTAGACAGGCATTGTAGACGTTCAGAAGAATATACGGAAATTCCAAGGCTACAAACTTGATCACTGAGGCTGGGATGCCATCAGGGCCTGGTGCTTTGCCAGTTTTTATGGTTTTTGCCGCATCTTGGAGTTCCTTGACAGTGAAGGGCGTAGTTTCACTGTTTTCCACGTATTGTCTCCTTTTCCGTGGCGGATGTTTAGGGAATAGTTCCGCTACGATAAAATTCATCAGAGCAGGAGATTTCGGTGCTTCTGGTAAAGCTCTACCAAGTCGTTTTGTAACGATTTGATAGGCTTTGCCCCAGAGATCTTTGTCAAGGTCATTGCAGATTTCCTTCCACAATCCGGCTTTAGCTGATTTTATGGCTTTATTTAGGCTCTTTTTTGCCTGTTTGTACTCGTTTGTATACAAATCTTGGTAGGGGGAGCGTTTTGCAGCTCTTGTGGCGCGGCGACGTAATGCGTGGCATCTTTTCCGTAGTTCTGCTATTTCTGATGACCACCAATATGCTGGACAGTGCACACCCTGATTTTTTGGTCGTGGCATAGAGGCGTTACACGAGGTAACAATAGCGTTCATAGTTTTAAATACCGTTTCTTCCGTTTCTCTGCGGGTACTTAGTTTTGGATCAGCTTGAAGAGTAGATGCGTTTTGCTCGAGGGCTGCTCGTAACGCTTCCTGGTCAAGCTTCTTGGCATTCCACCTTCGTTTGCAAGAGTTGCTTGGTCGAGTCGGACCGGATCCAATACTAAATGTCACATGTTGGTGATCACTGCCACTGTACTCTTCAGATACAGTCCAGTCTCTAATCATGTTCGCCGTCCTTGGAGTGGCAAACGTAATGTCGAGAATAGATTCCTGATACCCTGGCCTTCTAAAGGTTGTAATACTCCCAGTATTTAACACAGTAAGGTCTAATCTTGCAGCAAAGTCTGCCACGTCATTTCCTCTAGTGTCCGAGTATTCGGCGCCCCATTCTGCCGATTTCGCGTTGAAATCCCCAGCTACAATGACTTCTCCGTCAAAATTGCCGAGAGTGTCTTCTATGCTTGCCATTTTCTGGCGAAATACGCTGATTCCTTCATTTGGTGAGAGGTAGACGCTTACACAGTAGGTCGTGGGAGTCTTGATCCAGACGAAACCCTCGCCGCTTCCGTAGTCATTGACGGTAATCTTCTTTGAGTTTGTGATCCATATTGCTGCCGTGCCAGATCTATCTGCGAACCATGTTTTATTCTGAATATTCATATATTGCTCGCAGATAAGGCAGATATCGATCTTATCTTCAAAGATACGTTGGCGCAGTAGATTCTGCGCCAAGGCACATCTGTTCAGATTACCTTGTAGAAATCGCGTCATTTCTGTTCTCTCGTGGCTTCGGCAAGTGCTACACGGAATGCGTTACAGGTACCGGATCCGGCAACATGGCTCCCGCTGTTTCGATCTTCTTTGTCTACTGTACATAAAAAGCATTTTGGCTTTTCCGCGCAGTCTACAGACTTGTGATTTTCCCCACCGCATTTGTAGCAACACTTGCTTCTGTCTGGTCCCCCGCATTTATGCGTTTGGTGTCCGAAACCGAGGCATCTAAAGCAGCGGGCCACTTTAACAACTGGGCGAATGCGACAGTTAACCCACCCAATTCTTATGCGGGCCCCATTTAGGGCTTTGATTGCATTAGCCTCGTCTATCTCACAGAAGGCCGCTCGTTGTCCTCTTGATGTGACTTTGGTCAAGTTCACTCGTCGTATTTCCAGTTTTGTCGTAAAGTCCCGAATGAGTGCTTTACGAACGTCATTTTCGGTAGAGACACCATCAAGGTCAAGATCTCTATCGTCGTCAGCGGCGTCAGTGATTTCACTGTTCCTATGTTTTCAGTTGCTGCCCTTATCGCAGCTGCAAAGGCTGCACTATCTTCGGACTTGGGACTCATTTCCAGTAATACACCTCCATTTCTTGTCTGTTTGATGGACTTTATGTCCACGCCAGTCTCTGTCGGGTTTACTTTTTCCTTGATCTCCTTAAGGATGTCAGCGTACGTTCGTCCTTCAGCTGGTTGAACCAGAACAGCCTTGGTTCTATGTTTCCTCCGAGTTGTCCTATGATGGTTGTTTCTGTGCTTAGCACTATCATTTGTATCGATTTTTTCGGTTTTCGGTTTCTCGGTTTCCTCCAAGGTTTCTTTCGGATCTCGGGCTCCTTTCTTCTTCGAACTTTTTCGAACCACTTTCGTCCAGTTATTTTCTACAGCCGATTTTTTAGGCGGATGCGTTTCCGCGTCAGAGGTGGGACTAAGTGAAGATAGCAACCTTTTGTTTGTGTTTTGCTCCTGGGTCTTAGGAATTGGCGTCTGAGTTACACCCGGTTTAATAGTTTTCTCGGGAGAGGTCTGTGTAGTTTGCACTGTCATTGCGAGAGCTTTGGGGGTTGCCGTATATTCTTTCAATGCCAGGCTATATGCTGTATCAATCGACCTAATTAGTGTGTGTGTGTGTATGTGTGTGTGTATGTGTGTGTGTATGTATGTACGTGTGTGTATGTATGTGCGGATACAAATTTTCGTCGACGATTTCGGGAACACGGATCAACCGATTTGAATAATTCAAAGAACATTCGATTCGTATTGATAAGGAGACGTGCTGATTAGTTTTTGGCGAAGGCAGGTCTAGCCGTTCCGAAGATACGGGGCAAAAAGTGCCGAAAACGGTAACTCAGTTTTTAAGAGAATGGAGCGCCCGATTTAAATAATTCAAAAAACATTTCACTTGTATTGACAAGATGAAGAATCGATCAAATTTTCATAAAGGTAGGTCTAGCGGTTTCGGAGATATGGAGGAAAAAGTAAAAAAATGAGCCATTTGGCGGTCAAAAATGATCATTAGACATATGCACATCAAATTATCAGATATTTTATAGAGATTTTAACAATAAGTATACATTTTGTTAACATTCCTATGGGTTCCGTACCAATGCTTATGCGTTAGACAGCGACGCGGCGCTTACGCGCTTTATTTGTCCTTTGTCCCTATGCAGTTAAATCAGTACGATTGCTTTGAAAAAAAGTTCAAATCTTCCACAATATGTCAAAATAAAGAAAGAAAAATTTTTTTCAAAAAAAAAAAAAATTAAAAAAAAATTATTTTTTTTAAAAAAAATTTTTTTTTCAAAAAAAAGTAATTTTTGGTCCATATATATAGTTTCTCAAAAATATTATTTTTTCAAAGTACATTTTTTTCAAAAACGTTAATCGTTTTTAAAAAATTAATAATATTTGGTACGGGAAGTTCCAGCAATTTGCCTTAAGGCACGATGCCTTAATTGCCTTAAGACAGAATTCCACTTACAGCTAGTTGTTTCTGTATTCGGCATTCTTCTTCAAATAGCAAAAAATAACACTGCCCAAAGCTACGTTACAGAATATAAACCAATGTTGCTAAATCTAAATATAATATGTAAGAGAATATATAAAAAAATCGCGTCTGTTTAGAGTTTCTATTATTGTAAGTGGTAAACAAAATTCGTCTAGCCATTCGTCAATCAATAGAGTCAGACGTCATTTACATATAAACAGATTCTAGATTATAAAATCTGATTACAGTTTTTCTTTATTTTCAACATTTGCTATTTTCGTACTTATCTTCTTGCAAATACTGTTATTGCAATTAAAATTGTAAATATTATTCTATCGCGGAAATTTATTGATATTATGCAAAGTAATATATATTAAATAAATGGTCATACATTAATATAGGCTTTTGGATGAAGGTTCACGATAAAATCTGATATAAAAACTATTTTTATTCTAGAAAATGCAGTAGTATACTTATACTACTTATAAAACAGTTTTTCAATATTAAATAATCCAAATGCCAAAAATTTAGAAATCAGGATATTTCGAAAGTTTAGTTTAGACATAGAGATTCTTTGACTACGTACTTGTATTTGCTATTTTCGATGAGCATTGACGACTAAATTTATAATATTTTAAGTAAAAACACACCACAATTGCAAGATATAGAATTGGATTGGATAGAAAGATAAAACTGTGTAACTTGTCGCAAAACTGAACTATTTAGTTCAACAAGTTACACTGTTTATATCATAAATTTAATCAACTCCCATTGAAAATAGCAAATTGGAGTATATAGGGCATACAATTTTCTATCTTATCAACCAAACAATTTAGTAAACTTACTAAAGTTAGTGGGGGTCGATCATACATTTGGTCGCGATTGAGGCACTCTAAATGGGTCAAAACGGAATTTTTTGAAAAATCAACCCTTATCTTTGGGTCAATGCACGGGACATCAGAATTCATTTTAGAGGAATGGTTTGTTCAGCAATATATCTTATTTTGATTTCTGAATCCGAAAATCATATGTGATACGCGACTTTTAATAATTTTCTTTTTGTGAATAATAAAGTTTACTAACCTGTCTGTAATCATCTACATATGTGGAAGACCGCATGTAAACTTCTTGTATTCACCAAAAGAACCTGAAATATTTTATCTTGTTAAATTGTTGTCTTTCATAATAAGATTATATTACAATTTCTAGAACACATACGTCAGCCGCTGCCCTGCTGACAGTTCTCGAACCATTCCGCATAGAACCTGCTGCAGTAGCAATGAGTTGCTTGTCACTTGTTGGATTAACTGGAGCAATAATAGATTTGTTCTCTGCCCTGCCAGCTATGTTGTCCAGATTGGCATCACCACCTTGGCGTCTACTTGCTCGGAGTCTTTTGTACGAGAGCCCCGAATCTGGTAGTCCTGTACTTGCTATATTCGTTGCAGGTTAGACATATATCTTGAAACAGAAATTTGAGAATATCAGAAAAGCACAAATTATAAAAATAAAGTGTATTGAATTGAAAAATAGCTTTGTTGCACAGGTGAATAATAAGTCAGTAAATTTGTGTTCTTGAAACTGATGAAAATAAGTATTTCCCAAACAGTGAAACGTAACGAATTAGAATTTTTCAAATCCTCTAAGTCAACCTGAATATTTTGTGGATGTATGTGTTGTAAAATAAGGCACACTTTTCATATATCAAGTAGCTTTTTCATAATAAACCTATATAAATAATAATGATTCATAATACGATCTATACTGTTGAAAGCAAAAATTGCTTAAATTAGATAAATATTAACATGCTATCGTTTCAGGCTAGTACCTATGGAGAATTAATAGTAAATCAATGTATTACATCGAATCTAATATTAGAATATGAACAATTGTATATTAGAAAACTTGTTTTAGATGATGCGTTACAAAATTTCAAATTTATTGAATACAGCAACTGTTAAACTAAATAAACACTCACCACTTTTATTTTATTTAAGTCTTAGTAATAAAATACAACAGTAATAAAATCTCCGTCCTTCTGTAAGCCAAAGTCCTACTTTTTCAAAATGCATTCTCCTGAGGTACAAAAGTTTAAAATGATCGTTACAAAACACCAAAATATTTCAATACAGCAATTGTTTAACAAAATACAATTGCACCATCTTTATTTTATTTAAGTCTTAGTAATAAAACCTCCGTCCTTCTGTAAGACGAAGTCCTGCTTTTCAAAAATGCATTTTCCTGAGGTATAAAAAAAACACCTGGAGTAAAAGCAATCTTGTCCTTCAGTAAGGTTTCCTTGAGACATGTTCCAGCTTTTCCAAAATGTATTTTCCTGAGGTACAAAAGAAAACACCTAGAGTAAAAGCAATCTTGTACTTCTGTAAGGTTTCCTTGAGACATGTTCCTGCTTTTCCAAAATGCATCTTCCTGAGGTACAAAATATAGCACCTGGAGTAAAAGCAATCTTGTCCTTCTGTAAGGTTTTCTTGAGATAAAGTCCTGCTTTTCCAAAATGCATTTTCCTGAGGTACAAACGAAAACACCATGGAGCAAAAGCAATCTTGATTAGATTTTTTAGTTATAGAAAAATCATCTCAGCCAATTTATTTAATAAATTTATTCAATTAAGCTTATGATACAATGTATCACCATGTAATGATAGCAATAAATTTTTAGTATCCTGAAACGATTATAAGTTCTGAGTTGGTGGTACGTTTGGTGATACAGTTTTAATACACATCACATACTTTGCAATAGTGTTTATTATTGTTATTTTCAGGAAGTCTATGTGCAATATTATCATTTGCTTTCCCAATCTACGTGCTGGTAAGGGTATCAGCAGCTGGAGTATTAATATCTGGAACGATATCAGCTTTAGAAGTATTATCAGCAGTACATAAGCTGGCGCATCCTAGTCCACAAGGTAAAATTAAAAATACAAATCTCATATAAATATCATAATAACAATATGAAAATGAATAGTTCATAATATTAATTTCTCTCAGTACTAAATGGTAATATTTTTATTATTATGGCAGATGAGCATGGCACATCCTACAGTTGCCTAAATCAGCCTAAACCATCTCAAGACAGGCGCGGACCTCTTTGGTTTCTTAGGCCGTCCGTATCTTGTCCAGCTTTTGGAACAAATATGAACAGAACGCATGAAAATAAAAGAGGTAATACATAAAAAATGTTAACTATAATTTTTGTCAACTATTGAAATTAAAATGAATATAATTTGGATTGAAACTTTGTTAAAATAATAAGGTAAAGAAAAGTCATCAAAATCCAAGAACTCATCGCATCGAATTCAGGTATCCATTGGTGCATATGACTGTGAATCGAAAATGAATTGCAGAATGAATAGAAATAAAAGAGGTAGAAGTTTAAATTTAAAAGGCCAGCAAAGGTTTGATGCAGTTTTGCAATTATCTAGCATATGAATAAGTTATATTTTTCTTTAGAGATATTATTTGAGATATATTATCTAAGAAAAAGAAATTAATATAAGCTTAGCATATTCACTTGTCTTACATTTAATTTATAATATTGAGTCTTAGACGATGGAAATCAGAATATAAATAGCATTGAGGCTATTCCGTTCACTTTGAGATATTTTCGTAGAAGTCCTAGTTTCGTAGAAGTCTTTTTTTCGGTGTTAAATAAACATGTATGTCTATTTAACATGTATTTATGTCATACATGTTTATTTAACACATTGTAGGATACTTCTTTTTTCAAATTATAATAAATGATAATAGTTAATAATTTTAATTTATAAAAGTCAATATATAGAAAACAATAATAAAAAGGTTGCATTTTATAAATGCATAGTAATAGTAATTGTAATTTTATTTGAACCAAATCCATTTTATGGAATAGTATCTTACTAAATGGAATTAAACAAATGTGATACATATTGATTCTATAAATTGAAGTGTATGCACTAATATAATAGTTTCAAAATAAAGAAACTAGTGGTGTATGACATCGTGTCTTGAAGCAAGTTGATGGAACTTCCCGTACCGTAATGAAATATTCGAAGAATAATAAATGTTTTCAAATATATAATTATAAGCACTAAAACTTTCATTATTCGTATTTGATAGAGAATTTATATTATTATACTTTAGTTTATATAAGTTTACTTGAAAAGTAAATGAACAGAACTTAATGAAGGAAAGTTAGAATGAAGAATATTGTCTCATATTTCAAAGAAATAATAAACTGAATAGCAAAGTTAAAATTATATAAGTGATTTTTGAATGTTAAGCCCGAATCACACGAGGCTTGTTTTCTGACGCTGGATTTCCCGCTTGATTTTTTTGCCGATGACGGCGCTGTAAATCATGATATTTTTCTAGCCGTACGCATCACACGAGGCTTTTTGAACTAGATTTTAAGCGGTGGTTAATAGGTGCCGTGCGACATAACCTCGAAATTCAACAATACTTTTAGTTTAACACAATTTTTCGTTTAAACAATACTTTTAGTTTAGTTACAATTAACAATAATACTTTTAGTTTACTTTTTCTATTTAACACGGGTCGTAGAAAATAACATTAATTTTAATAAAAAACAATTCAATAAAATTAATATAGAAAAGAGATAATTAATATAATAATTTAAAAAAAATTGGAAAGTTATATAATTTATTTAAATTTTCATAAATCTGAATTAAAATTATTTATTGAAACATTATTAGTAAAAATAAATAAAATCAATACAAATAATAAATAATATTGTAAAAATTTAATTATTGTTTTAGTAAACTTTATAAATATATATTTTAATTTTAATATTAATTAATTTTTAATATTTTTTTGTGAATTTTAGAAATATAATATTCAATAATATTTCTCCAATAAATGAAATAATTAAAATAAATTAAAATCAAAATGCTTCTATATATAAAAAAATATAAAAAAATATTTATACTTAAATAAAATAGAAAATGTTTTTGGATATCATTTATCATTTACGTTTATATTATTTTAAATTATCTAAATGATCTAAATTAAATAAAATTTAAAAAAACTATATGTTTTTGTCCGAGGCCGATCAATTGACATTGATTTCATAACTATTTCCAAAATATGTCGTACTCTTTCTTCAAGTTTGACAGCAGTGCAGTCACATGATGAACCATGTGACAAAATACTGCTTCCCAATTGGTCCGGACGGGCAAATCCATCTCGAAAAATAGCACACGTTCTAATGTCAAAATCCAGCATGCTGGCAAGAAAGCGAGTTCGCTATGACGTCATTTTGGACCCTCGACCGCCAGCTACCTGGCAAGCAGAGCCATAAAGCAGCAAAACAAGCCTCGTGTGATTCGGGCTTTAGCTAGAATAAAAATTAAAATCCGACTTATTTTTGATATTTAAAAAAAAATTGGAAAAGAAAAAAAATGATTTTATTTTTCTTTCCATAAAAACAATCGTTTTGTCAATTCAAGTAAGAGGTTTTTTGAATCATTTAACTCGGATGCTTCCGTCTCTCAAAAAATACTATATTTTGCACATTTAGCTCCTTATCTCTAAAACGTTTGGACCTGTCTTTGCCAAAAACTAATCACTACTTCACCCCATCATTCCTAATTGAATAACAAATATTGTAATTCAAAAAATTAAAAAAAATACGAATTGAATGTTTAGAATCATTCAAATGAAATGCTCCGCGCTCTTAAAAACTTGATTGTCATTTTCTGCACTTGTCATTTTCCAAAAACTTATCAGTCTCTTTATCAATAGAAAACGAATGCTTTTTAAATAATTCAAATCGGTGTTCCAGAAAATGTGAACGAATTATATTCATACATACATATACACGCGAATACACACCCACAACCATTTTTCTAAGATATGCCAAAATGCTCAGGAACCTCTGAAACCTGAGGATATGCAAAAAAATTCATTTTCGATTTTTGAACGATTACTATAACTTACTATACGGAAAGTTAAAAATATTATAATTCATGAATGTAATGACCTATAGTAAATAAAGCTGTAATTACCCGCAATTTAGATATCCATTACTATTATCTAATAACTATTATAATAAATTATCATCAGAACGAGAACGAGAATGGTTGCTACTGGGCGAGCCGTCTTCCCCGCTAAGTCCGACTTGCCCGGAAAGTCCGAACCGAGACGCGCGTAGCCCCTTCTCGAGTCCGGAGCTTTTAGAATCGGCCTTGGTATCGGGGGCTGATCGGCACAGCGACTCCACAGATATAGATGCAGCCGTTGACGAATATAAACAGGATGTTTCAGTAAGTGTAGAATATACAATTAACTAGAAACATGTGTCTAGAATCAGTAATGCAATACATCAAGTATATATCAGAGATCTTTCTGAAGTTTTAACCTACAGTTTGAATAATTTAAAGTTTAATAAAAGCACAAATCAAAAATAAACTAGTTGATTTGGTATTTAGCCTTGAGGCAAGTTACACGAACTTCCTGATATGTGTAAATAATTGACTTAATTAATAAAATATAAATTAATTTATGATTGATTAAAAGTAATTAAAATTGAACCAGTTTTTGTAGGAATTTAATAATTTAGTATGTTCATTGAGACTAAGTACTCTATCGTAATACCAAGTGAGTGAAACGTCTAATTTTAATTTTAACAAACGTCAAAAAAACTACTCATTTTCTCAAACTTTGATAATTTTTAAAATTAAACTACTTGTCGTAAGGCAGTAATATTACAGTAAGTTCTATAAGACCATGATATATATCATGATATATATAAATTTAAAATCCAGTTCAAAAAATTTGATATATTTCGATAAGAACTCACAAATCTAATATATTGACTTCTTATATAATTAACTCTCTTATATACAGCTAGTCTATACATTAAATTGTACAAGTATGAGGGAATCATTGAGTACATAATTTATATTCTTTAATAACATTAATTATATTTATTGTGGTATTATTTGTATTCATTAATACTTACAGGTATTTATTATGATATAAAAGTACTCAAAATTTATTACAATACTTTATAGGACTTAACCTAATAACATGATAGATAACCTATTACCTATCTTACTATACTATATTATTGTATATCATAGATAGATATCTATTATCAATCATACCGTGAGATACCTATACCGTCATTAACTTATTGTATACCTACATACTCTTTTTACTTCTTATAAATATTACTGTCTAATTTATAGAAATACCTATATTATATAGGTTTACCTTACGACCTATGTATTACTGTATACTATTGTATACTATATTATTGTATATCATATATAGATATCTATTATCTATCATACCGTGAGATACCTATACCGTCATTAACTTATTATATACCTACATACCTTTTACTTCTTATAAATACTACTGTCTAATTTATATATTCACCTATATTATATAGGTTTACCTTACGCCCTATGTATTTTTTTTTAATATCTCTACCTATCTATTGTCTACACCGGGATTTGAACCCGAGACCTCCACGTGGCAGTCGCGCGTCTTAACCACTACCCTATCGGATACCCCCACCAATAATATAATATGGGACGCACTGTTGTTACCGCGGGTCATTTTCTAATTAATTAGATAATTAATACTAAGGTGGCGCGACGACACGCGAAAAAAGTCGGTTGATTGTAGCGTTACGGTGGTGTAGTGGATAAGGTCGCCGCGTGTCACGTGGCGGACCCGGGTTCGATTCTCGGTAGGGTTAATGTAGCGTGTAAAGGAAATTATAGGTAATAGGATATATAGTAGATATAGGTTAGGTGTATTCGGTATACAATGTAGGGATTTGAGAGTATATGATAAAATATAGCGTATGGTATAGATGTAAAGCGTGTAGTATAGAATACAACCTATAGGCATACGTAAGGCTATAAAAATACAGGAGTAGGAACCTATGATGTAGGTGTTAGCGTATGATATATATAAGATATGAAATATATTAGAAATGCGAATGAACAAAAATTCAATTTATAAATATTATTTTTTCTATAAGAATTTTTATCTCGGTATTTAATATCTAAAATATCCAAAATACCCGTTAAGGCATCGATTACACCTTACTGCTGCCTTTGCCCTTATCACTTCATAGAGAATTAATTAGTGCACTTTTAAACGATTGTGTGCACTGTGCGATAATAGACATAGAACTATAAATTTTATTAAATGTTTGAGTAACTTGAGCGAGCTGATTTTCTTAAGATGTTCTTAGTCTCGAACCTTACTGAATTCTAAAAATTCTAAATTTAAAAATATAATATAAAAATTATTATACCGCTGTCTGGAAGGGATGGCAATTTATAAATATACAGACTAATACATACAGAATTTGGAATTTTTCTATAATCCGTAATAATAAGAAAGTTTGCATTAGACCTAAAAAGGAATGCTTATTTACCTAAGCTATGGAAATATATATGGAAATATTATATGAATCGCACATGCATCCTGTGCTCACTTAAACTAAACAATGATCATAATATATTTAACGAATTTTTAACAGTATTTACAAATTACATTCAAATCACCCAAAGCAAGTGGGTTAAAGTCGTGTAATTTTTTAATTTGCCTCCCCCATTTGAATTTAAAAAAATGGATTTTTCTTTGGGGCGTGTGCCCCACGTTGGGAATTACTAGTCTAGGAGTACAATTTTTAATCTACTACCAGGTTAATCAATAATTGAGTGATCACTAATTCCACAGCACCTTCATCAGATTTTTAAAAGATCAAAGTTTCTATGAATATGAATACAAATCTCAAATTGTAGGCCAAAATTTAGACAATAAGTTTATTGAAATATCAGGGTAACTTTTTTGCTATAAATTGTCAACTAATTTACCAATAAATAAATGTCAATAAAACAATGATTAAAAAAAATTACCAATAAATGTTGGATTGTAAAAATTTACAAGCCTTAGACGGCAAAAAATTCATCCAATTATTAAAATATTACATTTTTTTGCAGTTCTTATGCTTTTGTATTTATAGAATTGCTTTTTTCGCTACAATCAATTTCCATTATATTTATATTTTTATTAATTATTTATTTTATTCGACTAACGCCCGCTATGTCCGAAACAAGGCCAACTTATATCCGAAATAATCGGGCATCAGCCATTTTTCGGTCTTAAAGTAACATATGTGAAATTTGAAATACACTACTGTATTGTAATTAATATTTCAGTTCATACACCTCAATTTGTAACTAAATTAAAAACGACTTTGATAAAACCAGTGGTGTTGTGCTAATATTTTTTGTGGGAACGCTAAAATTTAAAAACTGGTTCATAAACCGGTTCAAAAACCTGTTCTCATGTTTTTTCCGGTTCCGTTCGAAAAGAAAAGAAACAAAAATTATTACAAAACCCATTGTGTGCACATATATGTATGTTTATTTCAATAATAAGAACATTTAATAAAAATTAGTTGAATAATAATTTATAAAATTTACTTATTAAATCATTTTCTGTATGTAGCGATTTTTCTATATTTTTTCTTGCCGGAACGCGTTCCTTCCCAAAAATGATTTGCCGGAACGACGTTCCGGCGCGTTCCGGCTCGACAACACCACTGGCTAAAACGTAGACGAAAATTTTTTCACTTTTCTGCTATTTATAAAGAAACGTCTCGGCCGATCGTCCCACCAAACTGACAAATAATAGTCCTCGTCGAGATACATCGAATGGCTTTTAAATTTTTGAAATCGGCCCAGCCGTCGATTTACGGCAAAAAAATCTGTTCACACACACACACACATACTTTTTCCAAATTTAGTCTCACTCGATTCAGAATGGCTTGAAACGTCGAGAAAACATAAAATTAGCGAATCGGATTTTTTTATGAAAACAAACTTCTCCTTCGGGAAGTTAGAAATAATAAAAAATGTTTGGAATAAAAAAAATTGTTCTTTGCTTTTCACAAAAACTGATCGTCGTATCTTCACAAGTTAAATGTTTTTTGAATCATTCGAATTGAATGCTTTGTTCTCTAAAAAACTGACAGTTTTTACACTTTTAGCCTATTATGTCTGAAATGGCTGGGCCTGTCTTTGCCAAAAACTAATTATCACGTCTTATCAATTATGTCTTTTTATCATTACGTTTGAATTGAATTTGAATTTGAATCATTCAAATCAGTTGAGCGGTGCTCCCGAAAACGTCGACAAAAAATTGTATCCACACATACATACACATACATTCATTTTTTCTGAGGTATGGCAAAATGCACAAAAACTTCTGAAACATAAAAATATGCAAAAATTTAAACTACAAAAATTCGATTGAAAAATGATATTATAAATGAATAATATTGTTAATGATCAGAATTAATTAAATATTCTGAAATAATTCATTGCTGGTTTATCTGGTTTCAGTTCAATCAATATTATCATTATTATGAAATGTGCTTCAATTAAGAAAATGTAAAAAAAATAAATTTGTTATTCACATCGGATTATTTTACATATTTACTATAAGTTTTCTTTTTAAATCGTTTGTATTTTTATAGATTTTGCAACCGATTGTCGAAACCAAAGCTCCTACAACAGCCACATGGAGAAGATCAGTAGTACTTATAACTTGTGTAAGTTGTGTTAGTGCCATTTTTGCAACTGCAGTAATTCTGGAGATGACAGAAGCTGCGATCTCATTTTCTATAGGTGAGCATTAATAATAAATTTAACAATATTCGTTTCATATAAACCCCAATTATTTGCTATTGTTTTGCTCATATAAATTGACAAAGAGTCTGTATTTAATTTAAAGTAATTTTTTCCTCTAACATAATATAAAAACTTGTTTTTTTTTGCAGTATTGATATTTATAACTGGTCTGTTTTGGTGGATTCCACGTCGCCCTTCTGAAGGTTTTGCAACATGTGCCGCAATTACAGTAATAATAATATCGATTCTGCTAATTGCTGAAATTATGCCAGATACTTGGCCTGCTATAACAATATGGATTACTGCAGGTACTTACTACTTACATAAATGATACAAAGGGTGTAACAACATTACAAAACATATTTTAGGCATTTCAAATACTTAATTAAAATATATTAAAAACTACACTTGTGAAGAGCTAAAAGTTATAATAACAAATTGGAAAACTTAATAATTTAACTAGTATTGATAAATATTGATGCAAAGATCAAAACACTGGATGTCGTCTATAGAAGTCTATAGACATGTTTTAGCCTATAGGTGACGTTCGTAGCTGAAGAAAATGACACAATTGTAATTCAATTTTGTGGTAATATCAATTTGTGTAAACGTTTTCAAGATAATTATCTGTACTTGCATTGAAAAATAAGTTTCTCTAAATTAAGTTGGTATTAATTCTTCCTTGCATTTACCTACTTGATACGGTTATGGTATTTATTAACTTTCCGTAGGGTAAGTTATAGAAATCGCAAAAAATTGAAAAAGAAAATTTTTATTATATATCTTTACGTTTTAAAGGTTTCTGAATATTTTGTCATACAGTGCTGATTAGTTTTTGGTAAAGGCAGGTTCAGCCATTCCGAAGATACGGGGCAAAATGTGCCAAAAATGATAACTCAATTTTTGAGAGAACGGAGCGTCGTAATTTGATAATTCAAAAAAAAAATTTAATTCGTATAGACAAAAACTCATGAAATTTTTGGAAAGGCAGGTGTAGCAGTTTCGGAGATCTAATAGAAAAAGTAAAAAAAAATAGCCAGTTAGTGGTCAAAAGTGATCATTATACATATGCACATCAAATTATCACATATTTTATTAATAAAAACAATGTTTTTACATTTTTATGGGTTCTGTACCAATTTTTACCAGTTATCCTGCGACACGACGCTCACGCGCTTCAATATTTCATTTTCTCGCAGCTAACGTATCGCAATTGCTTTCAAAAAAGTTCAAAATTTCCAACAATGTATAAAAAAATTCCAATTCTTCTAAAAGATAAATCTTTTTCAAAAATTTTAAAAATCTCAAAAATCTTATTTTCCAAAGTTCTGAAAAAAAATTGAATCTTTTTCCAACAGTTTAATTTTTTATACAGGAAGTTTGAGCCCTTTGTCTTAAGGGACGACACCATGTACTACTAGTATTAATTTATATTAAGTAAAACTTGAATGTGCATGTGACTATTAATTACAATACTAATTAAATAATGTTTTAAGGTCTAATAATATTCGCAAGATTCGACATTTGCTGCAACTGTTCTGAAGAATTGAGGAGCTTCAAGATGCCGCGTCCGGCGCGGTTCGTGTCCACCCCGCGGTATAGACACAGACGGAGTCCGGGGCCAAGCTGACCCGAGCCTTTGCTCGTAGATCAATACAGTAGTGATTCCGACACTTCGGATTAGAAATTAATTGGTTAATTATTTATTATTTACTGAATATTGATTAAATTCTGAAGGTTAATAGACACAATCAATTCTCTCTTTTAATTTGTTACGTTTAGAAACAGTTAGGGTAGAGCGAAGCTAGTTGAGCATAGGGGCAAGTTGAGCAATCGAAATATCTCGAAAACTATTCACCGCTTGGGAGAAATAAACATCCCGTGATCGCTAGTGGCCGCTGGACAAATGAGTGAGGCTCACGGGCGTTTTGTTTATTTTGAGACCAAAAAGTAAAAAAAGTAATTCATCACGAGTTTTCGTCTGGTTTAGTCAAATATTATTTATTTTTAATCAGGTAAATGTTATTCTTCCATATAATTATAGTACTTTTAATATGCACAGAGATTCTGTATATAATTCTCACGGTTTTTTTATAAACTCACTTTTATTTTGAAATTCCGAGTTGGGGTTAGTTGAGCATAGTTGCTAAACTTGTTCTGTCACTAAGATAATTACCATTAACTTGCAGAAATTAATTATTATTTTAAAAATTTAAGCTAAGTCTATAAGTAATAATATAAAGAAATAATGATTTTAAACAAAAATACTGAATATAATGGTAAAATAATTCCCAAGACACGATATTGTTTTGTTGATTCTACTTTTCGTTAATTATTCAAAGCAAATTACTATAAGTTTTGTTTTCTCTGTCAATAAAGACTATAAATATAGAACTGGTTATTAAAACCTTATTTTATTTCATCACTAATCGACATTGAACCTATGATTTCATTATACTTTCTTAGTGCTCAACTTGCCCCACCTATGGGGTACATTGAGCATACTTGACTTTTTGCATTTAAACAGCTGTAGCTTTTAAATATTACTTATTACCAAAAAATAGTATTAACACTTTTGTTAAGCGATAAACCACAAATCCATTAAGCCGTATAACAATTTATTGAGACTTTTCATTGAAGAGCTACATCCGTTTAAGTAAAAATTTGCTCAACTAGCCCCGCCCTACCCTATATATAGAAACAGTATCCAAACTTTTTAAACTACACATTTACCTTAATTTTACATTTACTTAGTTCTTACGAGTTATATTAATTAATAAATAGTTACCGGCAAAAAAACAACAGACGAAGTGATGATAACAAATTTTCCAAACTATTCTTGTATATTATACAAACAACTTAGTAACTATTTACTAAAATAAAATTCAACAACAAAAGTTACTATATTTGAAATCCAAATATTTACTTACGCACGCATGTTTTGATGTTGTTAATTTAATAATCTACCAAATTTATTATTACTAATACTGGTTTGAATGAGAAAACAATTATTTATTAAAAATATGCCTTTTCCACTTAATAAAATTTTAGTGTGGGGGGGGGGGCACAAAATTGAACTATGTTCAATTAATGCTTAATTATAGTAAGATATTTTATATATTATTTTTCTAAAATCTGATCGAACATTTAATTTTATATGTTAGAAGGATTTTATAAGATAATATCTACATTAGTTAAGACATATTACGCTCTCTACTTTAAAATAGTATCGTTAGAAAATTCTATACTTCACTTATTTTTAGATAATGGGAGTGGACTTTTTCACCCGCAGACCTTTAAGCTCCGCTCCACTCTATATTGATTATTTGTTTTTGATATTAATTGATTCTGGAATTAATTTTTTAATATATTTTTTAACAACGGTATATAGTAATATTTTCTATTAGTTTGAAAATTTCTAGAATTATTTTTCCCATTTTCTGAATTTTAAAGAATTTCATATATACATGCAAAATTTCATACGACTTCTAATTGACTAATTGACTATTTGAGCGAAAATCATCAATTTGCAATTATCAACCAAAAATAGCATAAATGTTTGTTTTTAAAACAATTATTCTATTTATTTAAATTTAGGCAAGATTTTAATATATAAACTCAGTAATAAATTGAAGAACATTCAAAACTTAAAAATGTTTTTGCAAAATATAAATGTTTGGAAATAGGTGTGTCGTGATAACTCTTAATATTAAGACAATTCTTGGTGTTAACAAAATGATCCAATTTTCAAAATCTAGCAGTATTATGGGCAATGTTAAGTGATCATTGCCCTCAAAACTTTGGCAAATAATTTAAGTATTAATCTACTTCAAAATTATTAGTATTAATCTACTCAAAAGCAATTAGCATAACAATAAAAATAACCAATACTTTTTATATGATAAGATAATATTTTCATAAATTTTTATTCTAATTAGATTTTAATAAGCAATAAACTTCTCGATATAAATATTTATAATTATAAGCGTTTACTATACGTGTATATAATATTTGCTCTATATATTTTTGAATATAATATTTTAGATAGTGTAGATTCATAACTTCAATTTCAATTTTTAAAACAATATATAAAATTCAATTAATAACAAAGTACAATTATTTAATGAAATTAATGGTTAGTGATTACAGAAAATGTGCAGAAGATAGTATTGTACTAGCATAAATTAATTTTTAAATCAAGATAATTTATGTTAATAAATATTTTATTTTTCTTAGAATTTAAGCTTGTTTACATTGCCTGCTTGACATATTTACATATGTGAACTTGATATTATAAAATTATTCGCGTTGCCTTCAGTGATACGCCTTATTTTAAATTAGGTTAAGTATTCTTTTCTTGATCTCTTTATATCATAAGCAAACATCAATTTTGAGAAATATTTTAAAAGTTAGTTTTAGAATTAGATTGCTACATGATAAAGAAATAAAAATTATATTTACTTAGCTGGGAGTTGTGACACTAATTAATTAATTTTAATACGACGTCATTCTAAATATTTATAACAAATTATTTAAATAAATTGTGTAAATGCAAAAACTGTTAATTAATATTTTTTAAATATATTACATATCTAATTTTGCAGAGTGCCTAAAATGGGTTCAATGACTGTTTATTGCGAGGCAGCTCAAATTTATTATTTTTTTTATTACAAAATGATATTAGGAAGCATTATATTTAAAATGTTTTTTAAAAGAGGTTGTCTGATACTTAGAATGCAAAGTATAAAGATATAACTCTTGAAAGGGTTTTGAATCGATTTGAATACAGTTAAATATAACAAATATTATGATTGCTTCAATCAATAATTATTTCACAATTCTTCTTTTTTTAAATTATGGTTGCTTTAAATTTAGTTTTACATTTTAGAGGGAGAAATTTACAAATTTTGGTGCATTTTTATAAAAAGTAAAAGAAATTGTGCATAATTAAATAGCTCGAAAAAATATTTATAATTATTGATCAATTGTTATTTATTAAATAAATAAACAATTTAACGATATTTAACCAAATATAAAAAAAATATTTTACAGAATGCAGTTACTTGCAACCGAATAAAAAAAACTTATTCATAGTATGTAGCTTATTAATAGTCAAAAATTAATTAGTCACTAGTAAATAATAAAGTATTTTTCTCTGATATATATTCTCGTTTTAATTATAAAGGTAGAAAAATTATAAATGAAATCTTATTCAAAACCAAACTACAAAAATTAATTTGAAATTTCATTATAGAATATATAGAATTCTGTAATAAAAATCAGTAAAAAGTTAAACCACATCTCGTGCCCGATTAAATTCCATAGTCATATTTTTATTTAAAATATATTTTCTCACACTTCTCACAAGAATGGACATCCCAATTAATACTTTTTGTATTAAATGGTAGTATTTGCTAGTCACGTTAAACTAAATTTTAATTCAAGTTGAATATATTTCACCTTAAATGTTGAATTAAGTTATCATTCTTAAATTATCTTTTTTAAATCCCCATTTAATTAAGTGTTTATATTTATCAAATTTTTATTTTTATATTTTTATATCAATTATGTATTCAATAAATAAATTTATAAAACATTTTAAATTGATATAAATAATGATCATGAGGTTTCTGTTTTTGCTTCACAAAACAAAACTATCAAATCTTTGCAGTACAATAACACAGGTCCACAAAATTAAAAATAGTCGCCTATATGAGGTATGCGATATGTTTTCTAATGCGTTTTTTAAGGTTGAACACGAATTGAAATTGGGGATTTACTGAAAAATATAAAAAACGACAAAATCACTGGTTTAAGTTGCTCTACTTGATAACTAAAATCTTATAATTTATGTGATTTTCTAGCCCTTTTATTGCTTCATATTTACTTCCCATTGTTATTTAAAAATATGTTTGCAAATTAATGCTGAAAAACACTGAAAGATACTCACCAAAAATGACAAAAGCATTGCAGAAATTCGTTTCATAGATCATTTAGAAAAATTGCTAGATCGAAGACAATGTTGGTGTTTTTATTTTTTTTTAGTTTTTGAAGTTTTACCCCTAATGTCTTTAGATTTGTATTCAACGGTAAAAAATACATTGAAAACAAATGTTGTACACCCAATACATGCAACTTTTTTATTCTGATCAGTGTCATCGAACAATGTTAGATAAAAAAATCGATATAATCAAGTATAAAGTATTTTTTTATCAATACAATTACATATATTGCATGAATCCTAGAGTGGCGAATACCAGTAGTTTTAAATCCCTGATATTGTCATTTAAACCACTTCATTACGCATTTGCAAATTTCTACATTTTTCCAAAGTGTGCACATATGCCTCATGGGGCTACTCAACAAATAGTTAATTTGTAAATAAAGATAATGTAAAAATATGTTATTTTCTCAAATTGTTTGCACTAGAGCAAGATATATAATATAATGCGTTTGTATGGATACAAAAGCACTATAATTCGAGAGCAATTTCTGTCACTCCAACATCGGAACCACGTGCAGGCAAAGATGAAATAATAATTTATAGTAGTTCAAGGATTCTGGATGTTTTGCGCACAGAAAATTTCTTTCTGACCCATAAATTAAACGAACAAGTTTTACAGACACGTGTAATGGAAATTTGCATAAAATCCTTGATAAAAGTATATGTTTTTCGTTTATTAGATTAGAAAACAGGCATCAGAATTGGTTGTTTGAAAAATTATTTATGGTACAGGGTGGTCCACTCAAAATTGAAAAATCGGACAACCCAGTTTGTGCACAAGGTAATAAAGTCTATAAAAAAATATTAGAGTAAAATAAATAAAAAAATTTAAGCAAATAATTGGTATATAATATTTTACATATTTTGTGTTACCAAATATTTTCATATAAACCTTATCAAAAAACCAAATTTATCTCGATATTAAAATTTTAGTATTTTTTGTATATTGATATTGCATAAAACGTTTTAACTATTTTATAGCAAATATCTGCAATCATACGAATCATTACTCATCTTTCATTTTTGAATATTGGAAAAAATCAGAATCAATAACCAAATGAGAAAAATTTCTACAAGTGCAATATGCATAAAAAGAAATATTTAATTTCCAAAAAGCAGTTTTAATTTGAAAAACTATAGATTTTATTAAGATATTTTAGTCTAATAAAAATTCATAATTATACACTTGAAATTAAAATAAAAGTCAATTTATAATTTTATTAAAAATAAAAATTATATTGCATTTGTATGCATTATATTATTATGTATTTAGTAGGACAGAAATTTGTCGAAATTTTGTTTATATTTACATAATATATATTTAATTTAATTATATTTAATTAACCATGTTTACCTCATTTCATATGTTTTATAAAAATAGCAAAAAAATATCCAACATATATTTTATGAGTCCTTTATATTATAATAGTATTTAAGGTGACATAAAATATGCGGAATTTTTCTAGAAAAGATTTGTCATGATAACGATATTTTAATTGCAAATACTTTGCAAATATTTACGGGAATGTGTACCGTTTGCTCAAATTTGCACAACTAAATTTAGACGAAATTGATGGTCTGATGTTGCAAATAATAGGTAATTTGGTTCGATTATAATTATGTTTTTCATCATTTTCTGAATAGCTAATTATCTTCCAGACTTAAAATTATACGAAGATAAATTGACGTAATGTAAAATCAATAGTTTTACATTTGGTAATTAAATTTACAACAGTTTCTGTAATTATAACATTTCGGGAACATTATTATTTGGATCTTGCTTATTGTGAACTTAGAAATAAAATACGGATGTAATAGAAACTTTTTATAATCAACTGAATAGTAGAAGTCTACACCAATCGGGATAAATTTTTTTCTTAAAAAGTTTGCTAAAAATTGTAGTTACACATCTGCTAAAATCTGCTAACATTTTCTCAATCTATTATAAAATAGTAACGATTAGCATTTAAAATATGATCTCTTGAAGGCGTATAAATAATATTTTAATTTTTTTTTCGTTCGACATGGAAAAAACAAAAGTGGCTGCCTCTGCCGTGAAATTAGAACAATGTTGTGCAGGAGCTATGTTACTTCTCATACAAAGTGGCACTAAATACTGTCACAATCTTGTCATAACTGCAGCTTTGTGATATGGCTCAATAACATATGAGTGGAGTTGCATTTTATATGTAAATCGCCCCCTTAATGTTCATATTTGTAAAATTTATTTTATATTAAACAGATATTATCAATTGAAAAACCAAATTTAATAGTTTGATATTTTAGTTATTGTTTTAATGAATTAGAGAAGAACATCCAAATGATGTGTCTAAACCTTGCAGCCTGATTTCACATCAAAATTAACAGAACGAAAACGATCGAATCATTTCGGAGCAGCAGATTTTGATAAAGTACCTTCTTCTTATACAGCATAATTTTTTTCATAAAACTGCGCATAATAATATTGCAAAATATAGCAATTTTTTCATTAGTGGAGTAACATTTTCAAACTCAAATAACTTTCGAACCACTTGACCAATTTCTTTGATTATACCGTAAAAACAATGCTTGAAGTGTCACCAGAGTTCACTGGTAGCTAACTATTATTTCCAACTAAAGCCGTCTATCGCGGAAAACGAAACAAATTTTTCACTTTACCCAATAAATGTATTTTGATCTCTTGATCATACGTTCATTCATTCGCATTTTCCACCTTAATTTTAGTGTCAAGAGGCACTAAATGAATTCAAAATGCATTTAAAAAAAACACCTTACTGCCATCATTTTCTATATGACCATAGAATCATAATGGACATTCGTCAGATTTTACAAATACTTTTCTTCAATATAGGTTAGAAGAAAGCAGCTGTAATAAATAGATGAAATGAAACAATGAACCGATGATGTGATGATCTAAAACTTCGACATGATTTAACGTAACTATTTTATCTTTCATTTATTACTATAAATATCAATGAGTCTTAATCTACCATTACAGTATTAAGTACATTTTCATAATACTACGAAACCAATAGTTCATTATGTATAACTCTCTTATATATGAATTTCTGAGAAAGTTTATATGCCAGCTTCTTATAATAATTACAAAATATATTTTTCAGCCAATTCCATCAATCTGTCGGTCATGATTTCTCGAAAATGTTCATCGTTATTCCAGGCTTTGTAGAGAATGGCTTCTCTGTCTCCCAGAACGAAACCTGCGTAGCCGCCCGTCGATTGAACCACGTGCGTGGCTAAATAATCAGGCAGAATAATCGTGTGATCAAATATTATGGTCTCCACCAAAGCTGGCCGGGAAAAATATTTGTTTGCCGTCAACAATTCGTCGTAAGGCATCAAAATGTTTACATCTGGATTAAAATATAGTTATTATTGCGGAACTCAGAATAGTAAATCATACAAGTTAATATAAGGCTCATAAAGGTTTATATTTAGGGCTTGTTCTCTAAAGTAGTGTCATCAATTTTTTCTTGAAATTTTTTTGATTTCAGATGATAAATCTTTGTAGGTCATTCTTAACTTACCATAGGGTAAGTTATAGTAATCGCAAAAAAATCGAAAATGAAATTTTTTATATATCTTTATGTTTCAAAGGTTTTTAAACATGTTGGCATACCTTAGAAAAAATGTGTGCGGATACAAATTTTCGTCAACGATTTCGGCAACACCGATCAACCGATTTGAATAATTTAGAAAACATTTGATTCGTATTGATAAGGAGACGTGCTGACTTGTTTTTGGCGAAGGCAGGTCTAGCCGTTCCAAAAATTATGGACTCTCAATAAAAATAAGTTAAAAAATGTAATTTGGCGGTCAAAAATGTTTATTGCACATAGGTACATCAAATTAAGAGATATTTTATAGAGATTTCAATACACATTTTGTGTATTTTTTTTAGATTCCGTACCAAGATTTTTAATTACAGTACGGAAAGTTCCAGCAATTTGCCCATCAATGCACATCAATGTATAATCTCATTACAAAGAAAAAGGACAACCACTTTTCAATAATGCTGGGTTGTAAGGGAATACATTACGACAGCTCATAAAATACTTTGGAATAGTTTTGAATTCTATTCAAAAATACCAAAAAAAGTTTCGCAAAGTGTCCCAGAGCTCATTGTCAAGCGAAACGGGATGATACTATTGATTGCAGCTATCAGGGAAAAATTAAAAAAAAATATTTTGTGGTTTGAAACTTATGAACAAAGAGAAACTACTTTTTATTATTGCTGGGTTGTGAAGTAAAATACTCAAAAAAAAGTTTCGCAAAGAGTGTCCCAGAGCTCAACGTCAAGCGAAACGGTGTGATAGTATTGATTGCAACTATCATGGAAAAAAATTAAAACAATATCTTGGGGTTTGAAACTTATGAACAAAGAAAAGCTACATTTTATTAATGCTGGGTTATGAGGAAATACATCACGACAGCTCATAGAATACGTTGGAATAGTTTTGAATGATATTCAAAAATAGCAAAAAAAAGTTCATAAAAGGTGTCCCAGAGCTCGACGTTAAGCAAAACGGGGTGACATATATACGTTGGAATAGTTTTAAATGCTATTCAAAAATAGCACAAAAAAAAATTCATAAAGGTGTTACAAAACGGGGTGATAGTATTGATTGCTATTATCATAAAAACAAAAAATTATCTTGAGGTTTGAAACTTTAAGTGCAACCCAATGCTTTGGTCAAAATTTGCTAATTTTTTGGATAGTGTGGTTAATTTTCATTATTTTTGTTCACTTAAACTTTGAAACCGTTATTGTGAATAATTCTTTCAAGACCCCCGTCAAAATGACACATTCTTTCCCTTTCACATATTATCAATAACTAAGAGTATTTGTTAAAAGACTTCAGTACATTATTTCAGACAGTAAGAGTATTTGTTAAAGTCACAATTCAGTACATTTCGTTAAAATAAGGTTTTCAAAATCGACTAATTTTAAAAATAATAAATGTATAGTTCAAACAAGACTTAATTCTAGAAATTAATTTTTGAAATACGTAGTATTATGCATATATCAATAACGTAAAAATTGAATACAATGGAATATAATAATGCTTATGTATTTAGGAAAATGTTATTTAATAGATCACACACGTTGCAATATAAATGTAAATTTTATTTTTAAAAAAGTCGAATAATTTAAGCATTAAAAAATTATTTTTTTGCATAGATTTATTGCCGATCAAAATAATATCATTTTTAAGACAATATGCAGGGTGTAAAAATGCAAAAAAGAATATGAATGAAAAAAATTAGAAGTGGTTCTCAGCAAATTTTATATTTTCAGAACAAAACTAAGATTTTATAAAAGATCATACAGTATTTCTAAATTAGAACAGTGTACTAACTTTTAATATTTTTTGCTAAAGTAATGAGAATATCGATTTTCCCTTATAATTACTTGAATCTTCAATATTGTAAAAAAAATAATTGGTTTTCGTTTTATTCTGATATATTCAATACTTTTCGAGTAATTGGGTAAGAATTCTATGACTGTATTATCGGAATTTAGGAAATTTTATCGTTTTTCAAGTTATTGTTTTTAACTAACTAGAGTAAAACCAAAATCCATTAATGTACTCAAAGAAAATTTAATATAAATTTATTCAATTACTTATAATATATATTGTAATATTTATTAAACACAAGCAAACCAAACATTGCCTCAGAGTTTTATGTTCATGTTTCGATTTGGAGTGCGGGTAAAAATATTGACCTTTTGTAATTAATTTAAGATAAGAAATATAAAAATAATAGTAATCCCTGATATTCACTATAAGGTTTTATATATAATCGCTTATGGAAGAAATTTATAACATTCAGCACTTGGTTTTGTAGAAAGAATATGACGGAACCAACAATTTGAACATATTTTAGTGTATTTTTACAGTAACAATTGTGAAAAGGTTTTCTGTATTTAAAACCTTAACTTACCTAGATTATGATTTCTCAATTCTTCATTTACAACATTGTAATAAGCATCCACAACTTTTTGCATGTAATTGTCACGAAATTCTCGTGTTGTAGTTAAGTGCAACATACCCATTAGATCCCAAGAAGCTGGAGCATATCGTGAAAATTGAAAATCTACTAATCGGCAATCAATTGGCTTTCCATTCTCATATTTAAACATCATATTATTAGCCCAAATATCACCATGACCCATAACATTGCGAAACTTTGATGATGCTTTAACTACATTGGGCAAATCTAAGAAAATTTTAGGAAGCTGTTCATTAATTTTTGCCAGTTTTTCAGGAGTTTTCAATTCTGGAATGAGGCGCATTAGAGCTAAAGTCGCTCTAATGCTGACATCTAACCATTTTTTCCTTGGACTTTTAACATCACTGACGTAAGTGTTTTCCTTCAGGATATCTCCAAATTCTTTATAAATATTATATGGTTTGGCTGAAAATACAGGTTTTGATTCCAATATGATACTTGCTGAATGCAAACGTGCCAGAGCTTTTGCTGCTTCTAAGCAATGCTCTAAATCCAAAATTGTTTTCTTTTTGTGTTCACAGTTGAAAAATCCAAGTTGCGATAAGTTTTCAAATACTAGAAGATCTTTGCGACTATAGAGACATTTTGGAGACCACTGTTTACTTGAACATTTTTGCAACAGAGGAATCAGCCCGTTGAAAAGTTGAGTTTCCTTTTTAAAAGCACCTATATCTTCTATATATTGAGCATGCACGGTCAATTCTTCAGATGATATTTTCAAGAAAAATGTATATACTTCATCTAAGCCATTTATGTTAACATTAACTGATAGTATGGCATGATCAGATATAAAGCCAGATGTATTTTCACCTAAAGCTTTCACAAAGAAATCCGAGATGGTAAAATATTTAGCATCCAAATATCGTTCCACTATCAATTGAACATCTGCATTATTGACGACACCAAACTTAGACTGAATTTCGGCCATTTTTACTGCAATTCTATTATAAAATAAGATTGAGACTGTTCCAAGAGATGAACGACAGACGTCTTAAATGCAATGAACTGCTTAATTAATTAACATATTTAGTAAATAATCATGATGTATGTAAAATCTCGTTAATTAATTTAATTTATGGTGATATTGTTCTGTCTGCAGCGCATATGCGAATAATAATTGTCTCTAGGCACAAATAACAAGTTGAAATGCATATAAAGTAAGTCATTTGTGTTACAAAGTTTGTTAAAACTTCAATAGAAACTTTAAAATTAAAAGAATAACATAAAATTACGTAAGTATAAATTTGTCACTTTATTTACTTTTAAGTAAATACCACATGTTTAGATAGGTTGATAGAATAGTATGATAACCAAGTATTATGATATTTGAAATATTGTATATTTGCATCAATATTTACAGACCTTCATATATATTAGCAAAGTCATTGCGTCTTGATATTGCCATTGAATAATATGTTATATTACGTCAAAACGAAATATTTAAACAATACTGCAACTATTTAGATTTTACTTGTATAATAAACACATTCCATCCGTGGTACGAATGTGGATTAACAACCACTTGTTCCGGTTTTGATAGTCACCAAGACTAGATTGATATCAAGCAGTAGTGAAATAAGATCTTCATTTGCAATTACAGATAAAACTAGTGGAGTGTATGGCATGGTGCCTTAAGGCAAATTGCTGGAACTTCCCGTACCGTAACGAAATGTTCGAGGAATACAGAATGTTTTCAAATAGATTATTATAAATATTGTAACATTGTCTAATATTTATAAGAATTATATAAACTGAATTGCAAAGTTAAAATTATTTGTTTAAAGTATATTAGAACTGTAGTCAGAATTATAAATTAAATCTGAATTATTTTCGATATACAAGAAAAACTTAAAAAAAATGATACAATTTTTTTTTCCAAAATCAATTATTTTGTTAAAACAAGCTGAATCATTGAAATTGAAACAGATTCTTTGAATCATTTAAATTGGACGCTTGGTTTTCTCAAAAACTGCCATTTTTTGCACATTCAGCTCTGTATCTTCGAAATGGCTGGGCCTGCCATTGCCAAAAACTAATAATCACTTTTCCCAATCATTACTAATTGAATGTTTTTTAGATCATTCAAATCGGATGCTCAGTTCACTCAAAAACTCGATTTCTATTTTCTGCACTCTTTGCTCTGTATCCCCGAAACGGCTGGACCTGCCTTTGGCAAAAACTAATCAGCTCTTCTCCCTATCAATAGGAATCGAATGTTTTTTGAACCATTCAAATCGGTTGATCCGTGCGCCCGAAAACGTGACTGGAATTTTGTATCCATACATACATACACACACACACATCTATTTTTGCTGAGGTATGCCAAAAACCTTCAAAACGTCAAGAAATGTAAAAATTTTCAATTTCGATTTTCGGCCCATTACAATAACTTATCCTACGGGAAGTTAAAAATAAGATATCGGGTGCAATGCAAAATGTTCACTCACTATTAGAAATATTCTAATAATTATAATCTGATCAGAAAGGGAATGGTAAACCTTTGAGTTGCATTCTACAATCAATACAATCAATAGGTATAACAATAGGTTGATGTTCAGATATACACAAAAATTAATATAATATAGGTTCTTCTTTATATTATAAATAATAATAATAAATCGTATTTCAATATCTGAAAAATTATAAGTCAAATTTCTATGTATATGAAACCTACTTCAAAAATTTATCGAACCATTTTTCAATTACTATATTTTTTAATATATTATTTTACAAATATTATAACTGTTTGTTTGATAAAAGCGGATTATTATATTCAATATATCAATCAATTTCAGCATTTGGAAAAAATAACAAGCTTTTAAATAACTAGGTGGTGTATGGCATCGTACCTTGAGGCAAATTGCAAGAACTTCCCGTACCGTAACGTTGTGTTCGAGGAATATTTAATGTTTTCAATAAAATTAGATTATTATAAATACTGTAGCGTTGTCTAATATTTATAGGAATTATATGAACTGAATTGCAAAGTTAAAATTATTTATTTAAAGTATATAAGTTAGCTTTTAAACTTTATCCAGAATTAAATTTAAAATCCGAATTATTTTCGATATTGAAAACATTTTTGCAACTTAAAAAAAATAATTTTCCCAAAAATAATCGTTTCATCAATACAAGCAAAAAGTTTTTTAAATCATTCAAGTTAAACGCTTCGTTCTCTTAAAAACTGCCAATTTGTGCACATTGAGCTCAATATCTCCGAAACGGCTAGACCTGACATTGCCAAAAACTAAATTTGATTCATTCAAATAGGATGCTACGTACTCTCAAATAACTCGATTTCTATTTTCTGCACTTGGTGCTTTGTATGTCCAAAACGGCCAGACCAACCTTAGGCAAAACAAACCAGCATGCCTCCTTATCAATAAGAATCAAATGGTTTTTGGATCATTCAAATCAGTTAAACGGAACTCCCAAAAACGTCGACGAAAAATTGTATCCATGCATACATACATACTACATACACATCTATTTTTTAAGGTATGCCAAAATGTTCAGAAACGTGAAGATATGCAAAAATTTAAATTAACGATTTTTGGCCCATTATAACTTACCCCTCAGTAAGTTAATAACGTAATAAACTGTTACAAATTATATACTATACTATATGAGTAAACCGATTTCGCAAAATTGATTAAATATTTGTTTATGTTTTATTTATTTCATGTATATATATATATATAAGAAAAATTGGTATAACAATAACTTGTGAATCGACCTCGTTTGCAAAAATTTAAATAAAATCTTGATTATATTACACAGAAAAGCACTCTTCGAAATTAGTCTGGTCAGGAGATGCGATATTCAGGTGATTTAATTATTTACTTATTAAATTATTAATTTGTATTTATATTTCGGGGTAACTCGAGCACATAAATGTGTCAATTAGGGCACAATATTCAAGCAATTCTCAAGCTCTTTATAAGTTAACTTTAACAAAAAACCTTTTAACAGAATAAAAATTTTTTCATTCTATGTTTTGTGAAACTCTATATATGCAAATGAAATAAATCAATAGAAGTAGAAGCACCCTTAACTTCGGTGAAATATGATTAATGACTATATTGAAATATGGTGAGCTTTATAAATTTAATTTTTGTTTATAAAAATTATACATAACAAATACTAATGTTTGTATGATTTTTCCCGGTCCCGGTTTGGCCAGGACGATCCCGGATTTCGCACCATGTGTCCCGGGTTTATTTTTTAAATTAACATTTGTCCCGGATTTAGATTTTTTGTCTTGGATTGTGTTGGGCTTTCGATAAGTGTTTGATAATAAAATTACAACTACCCATCAAATATCTGATAATGATATATTATGGCACAAGACAACGAGTATGTTTATATGAATCAATACGTTATGAATAAGAAACTTGCCAAGTCCAAAATTCCAAAATAGGCTTAAAACAGCTTCTTACCTGAATAAATTCGAACTTTGATTTTCAATTCAAACTCATTCTTTTGAAAAAAATTTTTTTTAAAAAATATATGGTTATCTGAAATATAATAATTCTTACATTTTTTATCTATGGTTTTGTTCAGTGTTTGGGCCATGTATAAAATTCTGCACATATATTATCATAATAAATAGACTTATGCACTAGTCAAATTTCAATTAATACATTTTATGTCAAGTTTTGACAAATATCTAAATTACTTGTCCTAGACAGTAATAAATCTCGTTTTCGTAATTTTTTCTTTCAATTTAATTAATGTATGTTTTAAAGGAAAAGTTCACGATTTTTAAGGACTATCTCAAACCAATTATAAATTGATAAAGTTCGGTTATTTTTCTATTCAAATATTTTTCTCTTCTATAAAATATGGTTGTAGGAGAGAAAAAGTATTCTAGACGTATTTTCCATTTCTGAATATTTGATTGCTTGTTGCAATTTTATGAACAAGTGATAACAAAGATCCAATTTCAACCTATACTTTTCAGAAATTTGGGACATTCAGAGTCAAAAAATCTGATTCCGAGGCCAATATTGCTTTTAAAAAAATCCGGATTGCAAAGTGAAAATCCGGGACAGCCCCGCCCTAATCACGGTACGGTACTCTTCTTAGTCTTGTTAAATTTTGATGTTATTAAAACTTCCTATATTTGCAAATTATTTTCAAAATAAATTAGTTTAGAAAAAAACGGCTGTGATAATTCATTAATATTGTTCTGAATTGCTTTGAGACTATTACTTTGAAATTCTATATATTGATCCAAACAAAACTTATATGCAAAAAACTAAAAATTTATTTACCACTAAAATATTACTTATATTCAGACTTTCAGAGCCAGTACACGAATTCGAAATGCAAGTAAACTGAATCCGTTATCATAACCATTTTTATAACCACGAATGACGTGCACCATAATACCATAAATCACAAGAGAAATTTCTTGGCCTCTAAAATGATCACATATAAATAAACCTTATGCCTCTTGGAGATTGCTCGTCATAAATTTATTGTTTATGATAATTTACATTACATAATTGTTGAATTTAGCAAAAATTCATATTATGACAGCTGCTTAGTGACGATTTCGTGAAAAATCTTATCAGAATCGACGCCAGCGCACACCCGCCCACATTTTTCCAGTGAGGTGTTTGAACAATGATAAACGATCGTATAGGTAAACATAATTATTAATTCAGATACAAACAAACGCTGAGCAAATATGCTGTCGACAAAGTCACCTCGCTATTTCGTATCATTTTTAAGACGAATAATTCAAGAGTATATAAAAGCAGGTGTAAACAGTTGCTACATGTTGACTCGATGAGAAAGTGACAACAGTAACAAACCACTGTTTCTTCCGGGGTCTAAACAATCTTTTAAGATTGTTTTACCAAATTTAAAAAAAATAGTTTTTTCGATCGCTTTTAGTTTTAATGTAATTAATTGATTTTAATGAACTGTATTTATTGTTAAGTTAAGAGTTTTTCTAAGGTGAGTGAATCATAAAATTCCTAATTAATTGCTGATAATAAACAATAAAAGTGAAGTGAATGAAGTAATGAGTGAATAGTGTCAAATATAAAAAAAAATCTATCTAATATAAAAAATTTCAAAATATATTTGTAACCTATAATTAATTGAGATAACTTAATTGAGCATGAAAACGTTCTAAAAGTATAATTAATTTAGAATTCATTTTCCTAAAACTTCGAGTTTAATTTAATGTATTCTAAATTTTATTAATAATTTAATAAAATTAAAATAATATTACACTCAAAAACTTCTTATTTCTTTGTACGTGTTAAGTCTATTTATATTTAAATGCTTTATAATTATATTCTGCCAATTTCGGACCTGAATAATCAGATTAATTGGCTTGTAAATGCTTGAAACATAGTCTTTTTTGAACGTGAAGATTTTGTTGATATTGTAAAATGAAATTCTTTATAGTTATATTTAAATAAATTTAATATTGCACTCATTATCGAACTATATCATGAATATGATCATAATTTTTATGCCACCTAATCTAATTATTCATTCGAATGATCAATTAGATTGGGTAGAATAAAAATTATTACTCCAAAACATCGAATTATTTAATCGTATTATTATAAATTTAATAACAATAAATGCTTTATAGTTATACATAAATAAATTTAATATAATATTACACTCATGTTTATATAATTAAAACAAGTGAACTAAATGTTTTGCCCCAAAAATCCGGATATTCTTAAAGATTTATTTAAATTGATAGAAATTTTTAATAAATGCAGTTAATTAAATAAATTAAATTCAATATTTTCCTCCACAAAGTCATATATACTGCAAATTGTATTTATATTGTAGAAATTTTTATTAATTATATTTAATTAAATGAATTTCATTAAATATTTTCTCCCACTAAACCTAAAACTAGTACAATATTGTCGTATTTCAATATTAAACATTTAATAAAATAATAGAGAAAATACGAAATTGAAAATGTTTAATTTATTTATATATTTATTTTTGTAAATTAAAACGCTTTTTTAAATCTGACTCTCCCTGTAAGGTTATCATATTTTTTTTAAAGTAAAAATCGGGACGGTAATTTTTAGTTAGGGGGGAGTGGTAAATAGCTTAAATATAATGTTAAAATATCAAATGCTTTATTAAAAAAACTTTTTTTTAAATAAACTCTTTTAAGCACTACTGACTATTAAAAAATACTTTAGTTCTATTTTTGTTATATAAAATCTTACAATTTTGGATCTATATGTTTTTTCACTTTTCAGTCTTGTATAAAATTTTATTAAATTTTCTTCACAATTAAATTGATATTATTAAATGTGAGAAACTATTTTAATCCATCTTTGGAATTTTGTAATCCCCAATTTTCTTGTTCATAACGTATTGATTCATTCTCATTTTACCATTTTAATAAGCTTACTCGTTATCTTGGGACAATCTGAAAATGATATACATTAGGTTACAATTGTATAATAATATATATCATTTTCGGATATTTGATGGGTAGTTGAAATTTTATCATCAAATAAATGCGAATATTCAGTTCAAAACTTATATTTTTCGGAAACCCGGTACGAAAGATCTAAAACCGAGACAAAATATTGTTTTTAGAAAAACCCGGGACACAAGGTGGAAACCCTGGACTGATGATTTTACTTATTGAGATTTATATACAAAATCTATAATTTTAAAATAGATTATTTTTCAACTTTTAAGAAGCAAATTATAATTATTATGATTGAAACATTTGCAATATGCATACATATAACTTATTATGAGTTGTTTCCATAATGTGTGATTTCAAACTTTTAAAATATTTTTGCAAGATTTGAAACTTATCATCAGTTGTTACCATAATGTGTGATTTAAAACTTTTAAAATATTTTTGCAAGATTTTGCAAAAAAAAGAAAATTATGATTATTAAATAAAATTATTTCAGTTAATAATCACAATTCAATTTATCAATTACGATTATTGAGAAACAGTTGTTTATACTTATTTCGAATATGCGCACAAATAACTTATCGATTCATAAAACTTCCATCAATCTCAGTTATTTCCACAATTAGTGTGATCTGAACTTTTTTTTTTGCATAGTTTTATTGTCAATCAAAATAAAATACATTTTTCAAGACAATATGATGTTGTTAATGCATTAAGAGATTATCTCCTATGAGATATCTCACTTATTATTTTATTTTTAACGTTTTATTTGAGATCGTATGGCTATTTTTTTTCAATCTACATGTGGGATATTCCTCGCTCAATTCTTTTAAATATTTGTTAGGGTTACCTGGTAGTTGTTCGTGGTATTAATCTGTACTTTTATATTATTATTCAGGTTCAACAATGAGTTCGCCATCAACCCACAACAGTCACAGTTTCAGCGTGATGCGCTTAGACGACAGTTCGTTAAAGGTCGTCGTTTCCCAAGGCGATTGCGCATCCTTGGCCCGAGCTCATCTTAGGATGAAAAACGCGGCCGAAGTACTTCAGTGGAGTGTGGAATCGGCCGGAGGCACTAAGCCTTTCGGATTTTTAGACGATTATTGTCGTCTGGTGATAGTTGTCAAAGGTGAAGGACTGGAGAATGGCGACAACACGGTCAAGTGAGTAATGATAATAATAAGAAGTAACTATAATTGGTACACATTTTTAACCAAGTGAAAAATGACCCATTTGGGCACGGAACAGCAAATCTCTTACACTAGAATTTTCTTGGGGCAAAACGCCCGTTATTATTTATAGCCATTAGTAAAAAAGAAAAAAAGGGCTTTACCGTAGGTTAAGAGCGACGAGGCTTGATTCAGAATTTCCGTGTTCGAAATCCACTTCCAGCAGCCTATTGTCAAGCAGTAGTGACAACGCTTTTCAATTGGAAATATAGATAGCAATATGTTTCCAAGTGAAAATAGCCCTTAATCAGGCATTGCTGCACCAATAAAAAGTCAGCCCCATTAGATAAATTCTAATAAAAATCATCAAGTATGGATGGATTAACCATTGGGTTACCATCTAAAAATACGAAGTAAGGAGAAGTTTCAGCCCAACAGCTCATAGGACGTTATGTTCTATGAGTAGGAGTAGTACATATACAAATTGTTCTAATGTATACAAAATAACTATAACTGGAACCTTTATTTTAAAATTGAAATAGAAATTAGATATCTTAGGATAAAAGTAACAAATTTTGCTATTTTGAATTTCAATAAGTTTGCTGTGGATCTGGAGTAAAGACTTTTATCTTGAAACCACAAGTTACATGTTCCATTTCAGCCTCGGACAATGATATCAAATAGTAGTGTGGTCAGATTTTACTTGAAAATATAGACTTAACGATAATTTCAAGTGATACTCTAGCTCTTTGAAAATTGCAATATATATCACATATTTATTAAAAATATCTAATAATATCTCAGCACAAAAAATAAAGGCTGGGTAAATACGATTATTAGGCAACACATTATAGATCACTAAAGATATTTCTGATTGCCTTTCAAAAAATAAAATTATAACTAGTGGGGCGCATGGCAACGTGCCTTAAGGCAAATCGCTGGAACTTCCCGTACCAAAAATTAATATTTTTTTTTTAAAGATTAACATTTTTGAAAAAAAAATACTATGAAAAAATTAGATTTTTGAGAAACAATAAATTTTTGACAAAAATTTCCTTTTTTTGAAAAATGAAGAATATTGAAAAAAAAATGTTTTCTTTATTTTGAAATACATTGGAAATTCTGAACTTTTTTTCAATGCAATCGTACTGCTTTAACTGCATAGAGTCGAAATATCGAAGCGCGTAAGCGCCGCGTCGCCGTCTAACGGATAAACATTTGTACGGAACACATGGGAATGTAAACAAAATTTATACTTATTGTTAAAATCTCTATAAAATATCTGATAAGTTGATGTCGTTATGTCTAATGATCATTTCTGACCGCCAGATGGCATTGTTTTTACTATTTTTACTAGACCTCCGAAACCGCTAGACCTGCCTTCATGAAAATTTGGCCAGTTCTTCATCTTGTCAATACAAGTAAAATGTTTTTTTGAATTATTCAAATCGGTCGCTCCGTTTTCTTAAAAACGGAGTTACCCTTTTCGGCATTTTTTGCCCCGTATCTCCGGAACGGCTAGATCTGCCTGATTTTTTTGCGATTACTATAACTTGCCCCACGGGAAGTTAATAAAAAACATTTACCAATAAACTGTTAATATCAGTTTTATAAAAAAAGTTGAATATCGAGCTGAACTTATAATCATATCGTCCGTTTCATTTCTACGTTCTAAAAATTAATTTTAAACAACTTATTAAAAATATTGCGAATTTAAAATATATTATATAATAAAACTCAATATGGCAAATCGAACAAGAATACCATATATATGTACATTACTTGCATAGATAAACAAGTATAAATTACTTGTTCAGAATCATTAATTTTTCATGTTATTGAGTGAAATTCATATATATTTTTATTTCCAATGTATCTGTAGAAATACGATTTTTTATGAATATGATATCAAATGTTTATATATTTACTTTTGAAAATTTTTAAAATTCCATAATATTGAGTAAGCTTTGAATCTATTTTAATTTCTACGCTTCTTCATAAAAATACAACTTTTTTCCAATTTATAAGAGATCATGTTTTGGTTCTGGAATGTTCAGAAACTATAACATCTAAAATTCTGTTACTAATTCATTATTGTTTTTTTTTTTCTATTTTATTGCAGATTGTCTTTCTTCGTCAAGACACTTCCACGATATAATGAAAACAGATTGAGGCAAATTCACCAACATGGAGTATTCAGAAAGGAAACTATGATGTACTACCTTTTGCTACCAATGCTCAAAGGCGATAATGGTAAGCCTTCATATTCGGTATCATATATATCATTACTAGATTCCTTATTTTAATTATGTCTATTTTTTAGGACCCACAGCCTGGCGTCCAAAATGCTTCCTCGTCCGCAACGACATAGTTGTTTTGCAAGATTTATCCATGTATAATTTTCGCCATTCGTATCCAAAATTCTCTTTGGATCTTGATCATGTTAAAGTTGCTTTAACGGCATTGGCTCGTATGCATGCAAGTTGCATTATTTACGAAAAGAAAAAAAATTGTTGCATGGGGAGAGTTTACAAAGATCTTATGTTCGAGACTATGGCCAATAATAATCAATGGTGGAGAACTGGAGAGGATACTGCTCTGGCAATTGCTGAGGAATCTGAGAAGTAAGCGATATATTAATTATAAAAGAAATAAAATTATGTGGATTGCACTTTTTCAAGCTTTTCATGACTAGAATATCAATAAATTAGTTAGCTCTTAATGTGTGCTACTAACGTCCATATATAAACTTTATAAAATTGGGCCTACAAAGACCCCAATTAGACATAGAGCTTTAGTTGATAAACGAAAATTTTATAATTTTATTTCTGTTAACTCCTATTTATTTATTATATTAAAAATATGTTTATTATTTGTTGCTCATATCCCAGATATACAACAATGTAAATTTAAATAGTTTGATGTATTAAATTCAGCTGAAAATATCGACGAAACATACTCCGACAAAATGTTTTTTGATCCTTGAGTAAATATGTAAATTTGTAAACGGTTATTTCTCTCTTAAGAGAAAAATTCAAATATGAAATGGTTTCCATCTCTAACATCTAATAACCAACATTTTTAAACTTTGTGGTACTATATTAGTAGAAAGTAAATACTTTCATGTCATATTATTAGAAATACCTATTTATCATATCATACATATCAATTCGATATATCTAAAATTTAAAACCGATATTTTGCAAAAGAATTAGAATATTTCCTAATTATATATGTTATTTCAATTTCAGATTCGGTAAATATACCGAATACCATTCCATGGTACAGGAGAAGTTAATTGATTTCCTGAGATTGGCATGGTCCATGGTGAAACCATCGCGCATTTATAAAAATGTGGTATGCCACCGCGATACGCGCAATCACAATTTGATGTTCAAATATAATTCAACTGGTCTACCTGAACAATGCATCTTGGTCGATTTCCAAAGATGCACCTACAATCCACCAGCTTTGGATTTCAATCATCTTCTATATCAGACAACATCCAGAAGCTTTAGAGACCAGCACTATGAGGAATTGAAGAGGTTCTACAGAGCAGCATTGGTAGAAAATATCACGAAGGAACATTTGGATGTAAATGATATAATTCCTGAACAAGAGTTTGATGATAGCACAGATGATTTGCGTTTGTGCGCTAAAATTTTGGCGGTGATGACATTGCCTCTTACTCAAATGCCTCCAGAAATACTGGCAGTTTTGAGCCACGATTCTGAGGAGTTTGATCGTACTGTTAATGGAATGAGAAAGCAGACTGTATTGGATCTCATGGAGAATAATGAAAATTATCGTACAAGCTTGATAGAAGCTATGGATGAACTACTGGAAGAACTTTTAGAGGTTCCAAAGAAGTAATACAAGAGAATGTAATATCTTAATCAATAAGATTAGCAAATGTAATTGTTCTTAATATAAAAATACGATCGATCATAATGAAAAATGCCCATTACATATTTGTGTGCCATTACATTTAGTGGTTACTAGCAACTCGTATGTTTTTATTGCAAAAATGATACACAAATATTGATTGAAAAAATTTCATTCATACAAGCGAAATCTTTGTAATAATAGTGTACAAACTTGTATAAGATATCTGAAACATTTAAAAACAATATGTGAAATATTTAATACATCATAATTTTTTTTTATTAAATTAAAAGAAAATGGCGATCTACTCAACTTATCTGAAATAGTTTAGGTATAAGTAAATTAGAACTAATTCTATTTGTTTACTACTTTTGTTACTCGTATTTAATTTTGATTTAAATTATGTATGTTATTTTAGAAAGCACTGATAAGTATAAGGAATTGTTGAACTGTATTTTATAAGACTGCTAGGCAAATCACGTTTATTTATAAAAAAATGTACTGTAAATGTACCTGCATGTAAACTGAACTGTAATAATTATTAAATAAAGTATTTTAAACGTAAACGTATCTTCAAATTTATACTTATAATATATTAATAGGTCGATGACTTCATTTGAAACTTGTCTCTCTCATTCATATAAGACAAATAAATTTTTCATAAATATTTAATTTTCAAATTGTAATCTACTATGGTGTTTCATATATTACATTATATTTCTGACATTATATGCATATAAAATCATATGTTAGATATAACAATTACTACATAAAATGAACCGTCTAATGTCGATCATTTTACCAAATGACTAATATTTTCTTTGTGAATACTGATATTTAGATATAAGAATCTTTGCAACCCATTCTGTAATTTCTATTAATCCATTATATGGAAAATTTCTGAAATTTATTCATTAAATAAATATTAAACTAGTGGGGTGCAGGGCATCGTGCCTTAAGGAAACTTGCTGGAACTTCCCGTACCGTAATCCAAAATCTTGGTACGAAACCCAAAAAAAAAAAAAAAAACTACACAAAATGTGTACACATTATTAAAATCTCTATAAAATATCTTATAATTTGATGTACATATGCCCAATAAACATTTTTGACCGCCAAATGACATTTTTAAAATTTATTTTTATTAAGAGTCCATAAGCGCTGGACCTGCTTCCCAAAAATTTAATCAGTTCTTCATTTTGTCAATATAAGTCAAATGTTTTTTGAATTATTAAAATCGGACCTGCCTTCGCCAAAAACTTATCAGCACGTCTCCTTATCAATACGAATCGAACGTTTTTTGAATTATTCAAATCGGTTGATCCGTGTTCCCAAAATCGTCGACGAAAATTTGTATCCGCACACACACACACACATACATCAATTTTTTATAAGGTATGCCAAAATATTCAGAAACCTTTGAAACGTAAAGATATATAAAAATTTTCATTTCCTAATAAGAATAATGTAAGTTAATAAAAATAATGGTGTGTAAAAATTAACACGTCCAAGATTGATTCTGATCAATCAAATCAAATTTTATTATATTACCTAGCGCTTTTTAAAATTCGAATTGTAATTAACTATATGTTTAGTAAAAATTAGTCTTTAAAACGACGAATTTATTTTTATTTTACAGTAACATATTTTATGATTTTAGAAAGCGATGTACTAAAATAAAATAAAATTTATCAATAACCCCATAGCGCTTTTGGATTCCTTGAAAAACTTCCTATTTCTCTAATGCTGTATATGTAATTTAAATCGATTATAAATGTCAACAAAATGCTCTTATTTAAATATGTTTATTAACAATTTTGTAGTTAATTATATAGCATCTATATATACAGTAACAAAATATTAACTATTCGATGAAGTAAAAATAATACTTATGTCCAATTGCTAAAAAAATATGTAAAATCAACTTTACATAAGCATTTAAGTAAATAACTCTATTCCTCCATGTAAATGCATTATTATAACTAATTCCATCAAGCAATTATGTTCACCCATTTGTCATTTTCCTTAAATATAGCTTCCAATTCTGTACTATGTTTATTTGAGTCAATTTTCGTGGGTTCTTTCTTCACTGGTACAAGATCATCTTTATTTGATCGTTTTGGTCTATTGTCTTCATCATCGCTAGTATCAATTTCCATAACTTCTTCGTTTGTGCTTTTATTTAGACTTTTACTTTTCTTAACTGGCGGTTGAACTCCTAATAAAGCTCTAAGTAAACCGCCGCAGAGTAAATGTACTGGAGCCATGGCATGAGGTGCAGGCACCAAAAACTGCAAAACGATTGATTATTTTGATATTTATTTTATTCAATAAGGATGATGTTATATCATGCGATGATGAATTCGTTGATGGTGATGATGATGATGATTACTTACGATGTAACAAGCAACTAACTAATTACATATAACCACAATAGCAAACAAAGTAATTGTAATAGTTGCACTACATAAGCTATATCACAAAAATTAATTCAACTGTTAGTGTTGAATGCTTTCAAGATTAGAAATTGAGAACTGTTTTGTTCTCCAACCACAAAAGACTAAAAGCTATAATAATTCATGATAAAAATTACGTTATTATTGAACATATGATGAGTTGATCATTTTTGTTAACGTTATTTAGAAAGCGAACTTTTTGGCTTTTTTTATTGCTGATACAAAGTTTTTTTTTCCAAATTGCTGAATAAAACAATTTTTAAAGTTTTCGAAAAACAGTTACTAATAAAATGTCATAGAAAATAAAATATAGATATTTTCAATATTATTTGTAATTGAATAATGCAAACTTTAGACTAAAGGATAATACTTTAGTTTCAATTAATTTTTCCGAGTACATAAAGTAAAAACGTATATAGCGAATAAACGGTTAGCAATATCAGATTGGTACAATATTTAAGAAAATTATCTCTTTTATCCTATGTGTATTATCCTGTATATATTTCAATTTGATTATTAACCATCTTAACCCTTTCAACTCGATGCCGGCGGCAAAATTCACATAAATCTCGGAATTCGCCAGTGGAAAGTGTTAAAATGCATCAACATACAACTGTTCAAAATAAACGAGCTGACGAAGATCTTCTAATTATTACCTGATAATTCTTTTTATTATCGATTACTTCATATTCGTGTATAATTCGTTCTACGTATAATACATTACATTAAAAATTCTATGACGTTTTGGCATCAAAATGTCTCATTCAATTTTAATTGTTTACCTTCTGAAACTATTAAGAAAACACTGACCTTGCTCCAAATTTTGGAAGATGTCTCCGAGATCATATTAATGGACAAGATTAACATTAATAGCTAATGTGCGTGCATATAATTAAGAGCTAACTATTATAAACTACAAGATTTACATTAACTACATCTAAAATAAAAATCAATGCGATTTTTTTTTAGCAAATTGCTATATGAAGTCTAATTACTCATGCTATTAAAAATTATAATTTACGTTGTAGAAAACAAACACGTGCAAAAGTGTCGAAAATTTAATTAAAATTATGACAAAAGGCATAATGCATTTTTATTACAATGAGATCAATGTTGGATGATATAATTGTATTATTCCTCAGATATACTAGTATCAATTATCCTTCCAGACACATGATTTAAAATTATATTTTAAATTAGTATTTTATATTTGAGAAACTAGAAGTAGTTATAAAATATATTCATCATGATTTACGTATTCACAATTAAAAAACTGTCATAAATTATTCTAAACATGATAAACTTAAAATGTAGAAATAGGTTTTAGATTATTAATATAAATAAGGATATATAATTTAATATTATTTTTACTATTTAATTTGTATAAAATAATATTTAATTTGTCAAAAAAATCGAAATTGTAATAGAGATTTGCAAGGAAAATGTCAAGTTTGTATTTTGAGAGATATGAGAAGCCAAATAAATTGTTGCTCCTACCTAGATGAAACCAAATACTTATATTTTTACTTACTTATATTTTACAAAAAACATGTTCGTGCGAAAATTTGAAATAGTAATATCCCGGTGGCCAAGCTTTGCAAATACAGATATCAAGTTTATATTTTTAGATATATGGGAAATTGAAGTTGCTTTACGAAGATGATTTCAAACATTTATTTTTCATTCATATATTTGAAATAATATTACATAACTATTCATTCACAAACTGTGTTTTATGAAAATAATTCATATGTGGATTAAAAACTAGTGTTCTTAAGATATACTACACAAAGAATTTAATTTGAAAATGGCCTAAATATGCATATTTTAGCAGAAGGTTCAGAATGTATATTTAGTTACAAATTATACCGTAAAACATTGTAATTTCAAAGCATTAAAATTAATATTCCATTCAAGGAGTCCCAAAATATTCGAAGTCATAACATTCATTCATCAGAGAAAAATGTAATCTGCGTTTGTATAATATTTCTATTGACATAAATGCATTTTCAAATTAATTACTAACTAGTGGTGTATGACATCGTGCCTTAAAGCAAATTGCTGGAACTTCCCGTACCGTAATGGATAATATTCGAGGAAAATTTAATGCTTTCAAATAGGTTATTATAATACTGTAACTTATATATGTTTAAAATGAAGGACATTGTCTAATATTTATAAAAATCATATAAACTGAATTGCAAAGTTAAAATTATTTATTTAAAGTATATAAATGAGCTTTAGAACTTTAGCCAAAATTCAAAATAAAATCTGAATTATTTTCGATATACAAAGAAAAACGATATAAAAAGAATGATTCAAAAAAAGTTTTTTTGAGTCATTCAAATCGGATGCTTGATTGTATCACATTTAGCTACGTATCTTCGAAATGGCTATCTTTGCCAAAAACTAATCACCACTTCTCCCAATCATTACAAATTGAACGATTTTTAGATCATTCAAATTAGATACTCCGTTTTCTCAAAAACTCGATTTCTATTTTCTGCACTCTTTGTTGCTCCGTATCTCCGTAATGGCTGGACCTGCCTTTGCCAAAAACTAATCAGCACCTCTCCTTATCAATAGGAATCGAATGTTTTTTGAACCATTCAAATCGGTTGACCCGAAAACGTAAACAAAAAAATGCGGATCCACAAAATACACACACATCCATTTTTCTGAGGTATGCCAAAATGTTCAGAAAAATTTCATTTTCTATTTTCGGTCCATTACTTACCTTACACGAAGTTAATTATTTATATAGTAATAAATATTCGTAACTAATCTTATGAAAAGTTGCAGCCCAATTATTTTCACATATTTGAAATAATGTGATGACTCAAAGTTTAAAACTATTGAGTCTTCTAATAAGGAGACTTTTTATACTTTTGAGTCACCATATTATGTGAGTGATGTGAAAATAATAGGGCTGCAACTTTTCATAAGATCTGTTATGAATATTTATTACGTTCCAAAAATTGGTTCTGTTCGATGTTAAAAAAGAGATGCTATTGATATTTTAAAAGAAGTCGTTACTTGATTTGTTCTCTATATATTTAAGAAAGACGAAAACAATTTTATATTACTATTAGTTTTTACACAATATTTAATTTAAATACTATGCATTTGTATTAATCCTATTAATGCTAAAAATCATTAATATCTAGAACGTATATACTTCAAATTTTCCATAGTGATAAAACAGATCAGAACAGAAAACTACTAAAAGGTCATGTATTAATTAGGATGTGATTCGGTTTCAATGTTAATGTGATCAAATCTGTATTATTATTGAGACGTCGTCGGCTGACGATACAAAATGAATGTGTTACTTAATTCGATAAAGTATGTCAGCTGTCCTAACAAAGGATAACCATATTATAAAGCTTAGGACTTAACCCAGTTACCACAATGACGAGCGATCTTCCCACTGGCCGGATCGCGTAATTGAGATTGGCAATACGTTGCCGCTGCCGGTGACAATACGTGCAACAATATAGTAAGTACTAGGTACACATGTGCGATTGCCACCAAATAATCAAATAATGTACATTTGAATAATAGTTATTGAATGTGTGTTGCAACACTAGTTTGCTACAAGTTGATTACCAAGGATAAATATATATATAGACTGCAATGAAAAACGCTTTTGACTAGGATTGGTCACAAGAATTTTTTTAAATTTATTCTGCAATCTGTTTTAGATGAGCATTAACATTAGGCAGAGATTGCTAACAATAATTATCTTACAATATATACCAGAAGATAGTAGCAACACAAAGCGGCGTGTCTACTAGGTAGAAGGACTAATTACCTGTGCAACTATACCCGCGGGAGGCGATTTTCACTTGAGGCTATATTTAATATACAACAATGGAAATGGTCGAAATTAATACGAGAAAAACTCTCAAAATAAAAAAAAATGGAAAAAATCAAAATAGGCGCAAAAGGCATCATTCCTTAAGACATAGTCTTGGAACTTCCTGATATGTGCATAAATCGACATAATCAAATTGAGATTTAGCATATCTTAAAATTGGCACGATAGAAGTTTCAAACTGCTCATTATTAACTTCCTGTAGAGTAACATGTAGTAATCGTCCAAAAATCTCAAATTTAATTTGGTGCATATTTTCACGTTTGAGAAGTTTCTGAACATTTTGGCATACTTCAGAAAAAATGGATGTGTGTGTATGTGTGTCTTTGTGTGCCCACAATTTTTCGTCCATGATTAATGGCGCACAGATCAACCGTTCTAAAATATTCAAAAAGCATTCTATTCCTACTGATGAGGAGACGTGTTGATTAGATTTTGGCAAAGACACGTCCATCGGTTTCGGAGAAACGAAGCATAGAGTGCGGAAAGTAATAATTAAATTTTTGAGAAAACATACCATCAGGTTTTAATGATTCAAAAAACATTCAAATCGTAATGATGGGGAGAAGTGGTGATTAGGTTTTGGCAAAGGCATTTTTGAAACCTGTTTTCGTAGCCCCATAATATTTTAGATTGTTTAATAAAACCAGGAACTCTATCATCAAAATCATAAGAGAAATTAACGATTAATTGCGAAAAAACGGCCTTCTTACATGCGCACACATACTTTTCGCAAATTTGATCTTAAAATATTCAGAACGCCTAGAAACGTCCAAAAACCAAAATTTGCAAATCGGAATTTCTGGCGAAAACAAACTTCTCTGAAGTAAATTGTGCAAATATTATTAAAATTGAAATAACTGAAAATAAATCTAATAAAAAAGATCCATTAACATGAAAAACGTTGTTAAAAGAGCTAAATTAGAACTTTGCAAGTAAAATTACGATTCATTGCAGT